TAACCTGCCTCTGGCGCCAAACTAAGACCAATGGGCTACCTGTACATCCCTAATGCCACTTAGGGTCCACCCCAGACCGAGGCTACTTATGTGCCTCACTCCACGTGTTCCAGGGAGAGATCGCTGGCCCCGGGGGGGGGGGGGGGGGGGGGGATGCCGTGCCCCGGGGGGCCAGGGGTGTCTCTCCCCACATTCCCAAAATAAAGGTTACTTATATTTTATACTTTTTATCTTTTCAGCCACCACTGCCGGCCAGTCCTTCCCCCTCTTCCCCTCCACAGACCTATCAACTATCTATCATATTCTCTTGTTTTCTTCCAAATAGTTGTCCATGTCTTCACATCCAGAGAATTAATAGAAAACAACATAGTATAAAACTAATCAAACAGAATGAGGAAGGCATTTTAGGTCTTCTAAACCAGACAATAGGGAAGTCACTAAAAGCTGTCATAGAGTCTTTCATTCTCTTCAAAATAGCTGTCCATACTTCCATGTATATTGAAGTTCAACAAAACAAAACATGTGGGGGTGGGGGAGAGGTGATGTTTGCTTTCCTGGTGCTCTGCGTCCCAGCACAGTGCGGGTCCCAGGAAATGCCATTGGCTCTCTTCCTGGGCTGCCTTGGCCTGCCACGCTCACAGCCCCTCACCAGGGAATGAAGGGTTACTTGGTTTCCTGGGTGCTCCAGGTCCCAGTATGGCACAGGTCCCAGTAAACACAGGTGGCTTTCATCCTGGGCCACTGGAGCCTGCCAAGGTCACAGCCGCTTACGGGGGCCGGGGTGAGGGTAAGGAGTTGCTTCAAGCTGTTTCTTTCTAATGAATTGACCATTTAACTGCCCAAGTTCTGAAATGGCCAACAGACCATAGAAAGACATCTCTTTAGGCTCTTGCTTGAAACCAACAGTGTCAGGAACCTGTAGGTGTTGATTCAGGGCCAGAAAAAAATCTACTCTTAGTACCTAATATTCTAATATTTTATCTTATTTGAAAATAGTGAAAATATTAGTGAATATTCACCAAATAATTCTGCCTAGAAAAAATCTAAAGGTGTAGTTATTAAAGGCATTTGAGAAACCTACTTAAGTAAATACATTGTGAAACAAAATTATTGTTAAAAGTGTTAACTCTTTTTAGGTCTAATGCATTTTTATTTTTAGATCACATAATTTTTATGAAGTTAAGCATTTACTAGAGATAAAAATCTTTGTAGTATATTTAATGTTAACGATATGTTTAATTAGATCAATGATATATACACCAAATTTTATTAAAATCTCATTAACACATATATGCAAGTTATTTATAAATGCTCTCAATTTGATCCCATGTAAAAAGACTTGTATACATAAACATATATATGACACATATGTGAAAGTGTTGCTGGCCTGGGGGAATAAGCACCTCTCATAACTTCACTCCTCCTAATCCCACGTTTAATTTTTCAGAATTCTGCCTTGCCATAAAAATGTTCCTACCTCAGCGTCATACTGATAGCATTACATGTCTAAATCAAAGATACCTTTCCCACTACCTCACTTGGGTCCGTAAATATGACAGTGCCATGTCTCCTCATAACATCTTGTCTCTTTGTTTTTTCAGTCTAACATACGTGCATTCACCACTAAAGTTGTCCTGGCTAAAACTCCTGGCACCAGCTTCTATCTAGACATCAACCGTCATCCTGTTGACTTCCCTAGACCCCAGTACAGCGCCTTCAGCCAGCAGGAAGTAGTTAAAGAGAGAAATCTTCGCCCCTTTTCATAATAATCGTAAGACGGGATATGAAAGGGTTGCCGGTCCAGGCCAGATACTGTAGCCGGTAAAGCCAGGAGGTCCTATCTCCCCCTACCCTTAGAAATTACCTCTGGCGCCAAACTAAGACCAATGGGCTACCTGTGCATCCCTAATGCCCCCTTAGGTTCCACCCCAGGCCGAGGCTACTTATGTGCCTCACTCCACGTGTTCCAGGGAGAGATCGCCGGCCCTGCGGGGTGGAGATGCCACGCCCCAGGGGGTCGGGGGTGTCTCTCCCGCATTTCCAAAATAAAAGTTACTTATATTTTATACTTCTTATCTTTTCAGCCGCCGCCAGTCCTCCTCCTCTTCTCCCCTCCACAGTTCTATCAATATGTACATATATATTCATAAAAATCCCCCCAAAGATCTTAGTTTTTATTTTAAAACTATTTAGTCATGAGACAAATATAAAAGCTTTCAAATTTAAAGACAGGTGGACTCAATAGAAAAAACAGAGGCCTCGAAAATATATACCTAACTTCAATGGACCAGAGAGATGTTAAGAAAAAAATGCATCTCATTATTAGGATTTATCTGGAGTCAATAACAAAAACTAGAACTTTTGTCTCTTTTCCCTTTTCTGTCTCTATCTCACACTTTTCAAAGCTTCTATTTCAAAATGAGTAATGTTTTAGGAAAGACTTGCATTGATGGCTAGGGGTATAGTTCAGTGACAGAGCACTTGCCAATCACAGAGAAGCTTTGCTTTGAGTCCTTGCACTACACACACAGGGATGGAAATGATTTAAATCCTAAAGTAACAGCAAAATAGGTACATTTTAATCAAGGAGTTTTGTGAGATACATTGTGTTATTAAATTACTAGTAAGGCTTTCTTTCTTTAAGGGCAGGATAGTTTTCTTTCTAAGGTCTAGATCTTTGTTTCCAGTCCTGAGAATGGAACACAGGGATGCTCCGAATCTGCAGCTTTTTATTTTCCCTTTAAATTTTGAAATGGCCGGTCTTGCTAAATTGTTTATGTTGGCCTCCAACTTGGTATCCTCCTTCCTCAACCACCCTAGTAACTGAGATTACCACTACCACATACACTACTGTGCCTGGATCCAATGTCCTCAGGTTTTTATGATATGTGTAGGTCTTCTGAGACACATAGGTGGGCTTTAAATGGTTTTAAAAGTATATTTTAGAAGTATATTCTTTAAATAAATTTTTTAAAAAAGTATACTTATGATTGAATTTGTAAGACACAGTCATTTGCTCTCAAATGCCCCAAGAACTTGATTGTAGCCTGAATGTCATCAAGGGTCTGGCTTATTCATCTATTAGTACTGTCTTTAATTTGTTCATTTTAATCAAGAGGCTTTTAAGATGGAAATTTAAAAATTGTTTGTCTATTCTGGATTTAGAGTGGTTGGTCTTTAAATGCATCAATTCATTTTTTTTCAATATATAACTCCATTTTAGTTCTGGAGAAAAATTTTCTATTACTCTGTAAATATAAATCAATGCTTTGAATCACAAGCACATCTATGGGCTGCAGATGTATAGCTCAGGGGTACAGCATTTGCCTAGCAAGCTCAGGGTTCAGTCTTCAGTACAGAAGAAAAAGCATGTCTAAGCAGATGATTTAAACTAAGAATGGAAGTCTATACAAGCAAACACAAAATCCACGCCACTTCCAACACTAGGTTACTGAAAGATTTACTAGCTGCACATGGATTTGCAAACCACATTTGGTCTACAATATTTTGGGATCCCATTTCTGATTGGCTGTCTGCAAATTTCTCTTAGGAAAGGGAGCAAAAATAATCCATAAAATCCAGTTGTGGTGGCATCTACCTGTAATCCTAGTACTTGAGAGCCTGAGGTAGGAAGATTCTAGCTAGTTTGAAGCCAGCCTAGGCATATACTGAATTCTGCACCAATCTGGAATAGCAAGAGCAAGACCAAGACGATCAAACACATTCCCCACAAAACCCCACAAGTAACCTGTTTGGCAAGGTAAAACAGGAGATCAAAAGCTGTCCATGGGAGAAGATGTGAAGTAAGCACTTCAAATTCAAGTGACATACAAATGATTTAAAACAATTTAATGCTTTTCCTGAGCCAAAAGGAATTCACTGAGATTTATGAGTTTTAGTGCTTGTTTTGTAGCACACGTACTAAAATGGAACAAAAGGGTGTGGTGGGCTTTCAAAGTTCTTTATTTTTTCTTTTCATTTATTCTTTTTTTTTTAAAGACAGGGTCTTATACTACAGTTCAGGCTGCCGTTGAAGTCATTTTGTAGCCCAGGCTGGCCTTGAACTCAGAGCTCCTCCTGCCTCTGCCTCCAGAGAGCCGGGGTTACAGGGCTGCATCACAATACCAGGTAAAAATTCATCCTGAAATACATAATAGCTCTGTCTAAACAAAGCTAAGGTATCTCCTTGCCTTTTTCGCTCTAAAATGCAAAGGGCAGGCAAGAGCACATTTTTTGTATCACAATGCAAACATTCATCATGAAACAAAGAATCCCAAACTTCTCTATGTTGTACCCATACAGAGGATACAGTATTCTAGTTGGTACCGGGGATCGAACTCAAGAACTTACAACCTCAACCTTGCTAGGAAGGCCCTTATGCCATTGAGCTAAATCCCTGGCTAAAACTACTAAACTACTAAAAAAAAAAAAAAAAAAAAAAAAAGTTATCCTGGCAATTTCTCACCCGCTTATGCAAGTGTCTAGGGCTCCTACATGCTAAGTGCTAACAGTCATTTCCAAGCAGCGGTTCACTGGTGTACATGTCAGTGCAAAGAAACTTCTGTTATATACAGTAACCAAATTACATATTCTACATGTGGTCCAAGACAATTCCTCTTCACTCTTTGAGGCCAAGCAAATCTGGGTATCCCAAACGCGTGCAGTAGGAAGAATACGTCTAGCTTGGTGCCGGCAGGCACAGGAGCCCTGAGAAGTCTGGCTTCATCCTTCCCTTGACGCGGACTAGCATCGCCCCACCCCCAGGCGGCCTTACGGACTTCCGCCTCTTGCAGTGAGCTGCTGTCCAGGGCCTCCACTACGTCACATCCGGGTCTTGCAAATCGGCGTGACGAACCCCCACGATGAAGCGCGTGTTTGTTACCGTAGGGACCACCAGTTTTGACGAGCTCATAACACGTGTGTCGGCGGAGGAGACTCTACATGTGAGTGGGAGAGTCAAGAGGCTGCGGCTCGCGTACTGCACTTTGCTTGTCGCTTACCTCCGGTCTTTGTTAGGCTTGGCAACCTTGCCGGACCACAGCATTCTTAAGAGTTTCCCACCGTTCTGCTGCAGGTGCAGCAGTCCTCTTGCGGGGCTTCCTCGTCCTCCTCTTCCCACTACCCCACCGCCTCTCCTGGCCGCTCCTCCCTTTCCTCTTTTGGCTCCTCCTTTTGGCTTTCCCAAAGATTTTCCGCCTGGGCTCCTCCTTCAAGGGCTCCTCCTTTCCTAACTTTGGCTGGGGCTTAAACTCGGGGGTGTTGGAGTCTCGAGCCCGCCGTGCGGGCTCCTCGTGCCTTAGTCCACCAAAGCCCCTGCCCCTGCACGAGGGGCTGCGGCCTCGGAGCGCGGTTGGAACCAGACTTGCTTCCTCAGTAGCTTGCGACGCCCTCTCCAAGTCTTTCACGGTTCTCGTTTTAACGGGCCCGGTTCTTTCCCAACTCTGTGAGCAGCTCTTTAGATTTCTTGGGGCTCTTGGGGTTCCTTGTGGGTTTGGGACGGGAGAAGGGCGCTCGTTTGGAAAACTGACTGAAACTGCCCTCAGGTAGGTTGTTTGGCAGCACACGCTCCGGTCTGAAGACCGATTTTAAGGTTTGTTGTTATGCTAGTCCTAGAGAAGCCAATTTAAAAGGCCCGCGCGTTTTCTTATTTCCTGTTTTAGATCTTCAAGAGCCTTGGTTACAGTCGACTTACTCTCCAAATTGGTAGAGGAACGGTGGTGCCTGAACCATTCAGCGCCGAGTGCTTTACTCTAGAGGTTTACAGGTACAAGGATTCCTTGCAAGAAGACCTTCAGAGAGCAGATCTTGTTATTAGTCACGCAGGTAAATGTTTGAGAATCTTAAGGTTCAGCCTTTGATAAAAACAATAAATAACTGATAGTTGCATTTTTTGTGGTAAAATGAAATCGTTAAATAAATGTATTTCATAGGGTGAATTCGCGGTAGCCTTGTTGCATGTAATTACTTGAATATAACAATTGAGAACGTTGGTGGAGAGAATTTAGTATTACTTGGGAAGAGAAGGATGAAAAATCAGTCTCCATAGTCCAACTTTACAATAGGAAACGTTAAACACAGGGGCGAGATAATTTTCCCAATGACATGTGTAAGGAAAGGTCAACCTGAAATTAGTATGTGGGCTTAGATTTGAAAGGAATGTTTAGCCTGCTGTTTCTAATTGGTCATAGAGGAATTGGATTTGACAGACTTTTAGCATTTCTATTAAGTGTGAATGTGAAATAAACTCAGTAAAAAATATTCTTTAATACTCTTTAGAGAACCACCCAGATGATACTCCAGTACCTAGTGAAGCTTACATCATTTTTAGAAGAATGGCTTTTGGGAAGCATTACAGTTTTTACCACTGTGTGAGGGGGTGTTTCTTGTTTTTTAAGAAGTCTACTTTGAAGAGAGAAAAGTCCCTAGAAACAAATTACCAACAAATTGGTAATTCAAAATGTATAACGTAATAATTAAGGAAACTTTTGGCATTGCTTTAATACTTTGTGTTTTAGCTGATTTAATCCTGCCAAATAATCCTGGGAACAAATATTATTAGTATCTCCTATTTTGAGATAAGGAACAATGAGGTTAAGTCACATAGCAAGCCAATAAATGGTGAGCAGATAATAATGTAGTACTTAAGTCTATGTTTTTAGCTACTTATCCTAGCATAGGGTATCCAAAAAAGGATGTTACTTATTCAGCAGTTTCTTTACTTGCCTTTAAAATGTTTGGATGACTTGATTTTAAAATTGAATCAATCCTAATAGTATATGTATACATATTCATGGAGCTCTAGCCTTAATTATCATGGAGGGTTGTACTTCATAGGTAGACTCATAAAGAGTGTTTTAATCGGTGCCTGTCATTATTGGAGGCTTGCTTTTTCTAGTTGTGTTTGAACAGAAATAAGTACAGTTGTCTCTTTGTATCCACAGGATATTGGTTCCAGGGTACCTGATGATATGAAATTGAGATGCAAAAGCCCCTTACATAAAACAGCCTAATATATGCCTGTGACCTATACACATCCTTGTGTATACTTTAAATCCTTGCTAGATTTCTTGTAGTATGCAGTATAATGAAAACACTATTAAGCAGTTGTTGCACTGAATTATTTAGGGAATAGTGGCTAAAACGTGTACACATTTAGTAGAAGTATAGTTTTTTCTGAATATTTTCAATCTGCCATTGATTGAATCTCAGTGTGCAGAACATGACAGTACATGTGGATGACTGTATAGTTTTGTGTACAGTATGCTGAACTTAAATCTTACTTGGATTCATTGTCACACCCAGAGATACCACCAGTGAGCAGATAACAAAGCACTGAATCATGGCCATATAATCAGCAGTGATTAAAAAATACGTTTAAGTCAGGTTAATAACAGTGATAAGTATACTTCTGTCATTTTGGATGTGTAATTGAAAGATTTTTATTCAGCCTGACAGTTCTCATAAAATTTTGTAGAGCACTTTTACTTTTTAAAATTGTATTAACATTTATTTACATAGGTGCTGGAAGCTGTTTGGAGACTCTGGAAAAAGGCAAACCACTTGTGGTAGTTATAAATGAAAAGTTGATGAATAATCATCAGTTGGAATTGGCGAAGGAGCTACACAAAGAGGGCTATCTCTTCTACTGTACCTGCAGGTATACTAGAGACTGATTATTTCACTTCTTACCTAGGTTTCTTTCTAGCTGTTCTTATGGACTTGCCTAACTCAATTTGTCTCTTGCTTCTTCTAACACTTAACAAACATACTTTGATTTTGTTCCTTATAAAGTCCTTTCATTTGTTCATCTTCCATTTTGAATTCAGTCTGTATTGAATGTTTTTTTCTATATCTGTGGTCATCTTTTTGCGTGTATGTGAGAGCATGTGAGTACGTGTGTGTTCATATAGATATACATGCTTCCAAAGAAACTGCTTTTTTTAGTACCATTTAGATTTTTAGTATTCAAGAAAACCATTTAATAGAACATGAAGCTCTGGGTTGAATTGAGCGTTTGATTTCAGTTAAGGTTTTTCCCTTAAAATCCTTTGGAATCTAAATTTAATGTATTCATTTATACAACTAAAATGTAGCAGGCACTGTTTTAAATGCTGGGAATATAGTTCATGCTCTTGCAGTACTTACATTCTAGTGGTGAAATTTCACACAGCAGAGTAATGCTACAAGGAAAATAAGACAGGGTGATATGATAGTTCAGGTGAACATTTAGGCAGAATCATTAGGGAAGGCTTGACAAAATACGTGACATTTGAAGTGGGACCTGAATTACAGGAAAGAGCTAGTTGTGTGAAGCTCTAAGAGGTAGAGGAATAGCAATTATAAAAGCCTAAGTTAGGAATGAATTTGGAGTTGTGTTTGGGAAACAGAGGGAAGGTTAATGTGGCAGGACCAAGGTAAGTAAGCAACAGTATAGTATGAAGGCTGAGAGGGGATAGCTCAGGTAATAATTCTGATTATATGTGTAATGGGAACCCATTGGAGCCTTTTAAGCACATAATTACTTTATGGTAAGGAATATTATTTTCTACAAATATATTAGAATTCAATAAGAACCGATGAACATTACAGTAGAAGGATGGCTTGTTTTCTGTATTAGTTCTTCCTTGAGACTAGAAGCTTGCCAGGTCAGTAATTCCTAATTGTTTGACTTTAAAAATCTATCCTAATTTAGTATTTTAAAAACTAAATACATGATGAAATATTAATTTTATGTATGTATTTTTCGGTTTTAGTAAATTTAACTTATTTTAAGATAGCAATTGATTTAGAATATGTGCTTTTATTTTTTCTGATTCTGTGCCTTAGGTGCTCAGTAAATATGTATTTGTTCATTAGATATTTATTCAGTACTTAGATTATGTGCCAGACATTTTTCTAGGCACTTGGTATGCATCAGTAAAAAAAAAAAATTCCTACACTCATTGGGAGGAGACAGATTCACTGATTGTTGCAGGAATAAAATTTTTACCCTCCTCATCTCTGTACTGATGGAAGAGAAGGAATGTCAAAGTGTCTGCAATAAAAGAAGCCAGTCTTGTGAAGTAGTGCAAGACTTCAGAAGAAAAGCTACAGAATTAAGATTATGTATGCTTCAGATAATCGGTATAACTACTCTTAGGGTGGTTGGCATTGTTAGGAGTTGACATTATATTCTAGCCAGTATTAGATTCCCAACTTCCTAACTGCTATATTGCAAGGCCATGTCTCCAGATGTTTTTGATGAGTATTTTCATTCAGTATGTTAAATTAGCTTTTATTTTATGTGATACAAGGGTTACTCAGAATATGAGGTGAATATTTTTGTATAGTGAAAATTTAAAGGAAATTTATTACAGTAAAACACACATTGCCCTTAATCTTCTTCAAAACACTTCCTCTCTCTTAAAACACTTAATTCCGTCCTTCTTACTGTTTCCTGAAGCAGCTCTGAAAGTCTTTTTTGAGTGTCTTTTGGGGTGATTAAAAACATGATGGTGAATACTGTTGTTATGTACCATCCAATGTAAAGGCAGGCTCATAAAATCGGTATGTTCTCATTTGAATCTGGCATTGTGCAACTTCTGGCTCCTCTCCAAAATCAAAATGACCATGAAAGGTAAATGTTTTGCATTGATTCAGGACATTGAAGCAGCCAGGACAGTGCAACTAAACATAAGAAATGCCTCCTAAAACTTCTTTAGAAAGTGGCAAGAATGGTGGGATAAAAGTATTTAAAGTAAGTTTAAGGGAAAACATTTTGCAAGCGATTAATAACAATGTCTTTTAGTGTAATAAACTTTTAAAAAGTGAAACTTTGCTGCATTTGTTTCACACCTCATACATTATAAAAGGTAAAACAACAATTTTACAAACATCCTGACTTAGGCTGAAAAAAGAAACTGTACAAGTCTCCAATTTATTTATTTTTCTTTCTTTCTTTGTTTCTTTTTATTAGTACGGATTTGTAACACATAATGGTCACATTAATCATGAGTTGATACATGTATATAACACATCTAAATTTTTTTCATCCACTTCCCTGCTCCCTTTATCTCTTGGTCCTCTTCCTTTATGCAAAGATCTCCCTGTTTTTTATTAACTGTCTTTTATTTTGTTCTATATTTGTACTACGGATTTCTCATATAAGAGAAA